GGTGCCTGAACTCACACACGTCATACAACCTGCCTTGCCTACCCTACAAGGTTCCACCCAAAAAAGGTGCCGGAACTCCGTTCTGGGCATTTTATGAGAAAAAAAGCCCTGTATATACTACTAAGACTTTCATTGTTTGTCTGTTTGTACCCTTCAGTTAGCCCAAATTTTGCATCATATTGCAACAACTTTTGAATCAAGCTGCCTCAAATGTGCTAACTATAATAATAATAATAATAATAATAATAATAATAATATACACAGCTGGAATAGTGGACTGGACTCAAGCAGAATTAAAAGCAATGGATAGGAAGACCAGAAAGATAATGACAATGAATCATGCCCTTCATCCACGCAGTGACATTGACAGACTCTATCTACCAAGGCAAATAGGTGGGCATGGAATGCTGCAAGTACATCAGATGGTTGAAGAAGAAGAATTGGCTTTGGAAGAATATCTGAAGGATAATGATGAAGATGCATTGAAATTAGTATATCAGGAAGGCTTACTGACTACTGGAGAGACCAAACTGGTCTACAAGAAAGACCAAATGAAGAACAAAATAGAGGCATGGGAAGACAAAGCACTACATGGCCACTACATTAAAACAATAGCTGGGAAAGCAGATAATAACAAGACCTGGCAATGGCTAAGAGCAGGAAAATTGAAGAAAGAGACTGAGGGACTAATTCTGGCTGCACAAGACCAAGCCTTAAGGACAAATGCATAAAAAATCAAAATTGAGAAGACAGCAACAGACAGTACAGTAAGTGCTGCCTACGAAAAGAAGCTGAAGAAACAGTGGGCCACCTGGTAAGCTTCTGCAAGAAGATCGCACAGTGACTACAAGCAGCGGCATGACAAAGTAGCAACAATGGTGCATTGGAAGATCTGCAAAAAATATCATTTGCCTGTAACAAAAACTGGTGGGATCATAAAATAGAGAAAGTCATAGAAAATGATAAAATTAAACTGCTCTGGGACTTCAGAATTCAAACAGACAAGCACCTGCAACATAACATCCCAGACTTAACAATTGTCAATAAGAAAGACAAAAAAGTCTGGATAGTGGACGTGGCAGTGCCTGGAGACAGCAGAATAGACGAGAAATAACTGGAGAAGATAACAAAATACAAAGACCTACAAATAGAAATAGAAAGACTGTGGCAAAGGCAAGCAAGGGTAGCACCAATAGTCATAGGCGCCTTGGGTGCAATCCCAAAACAAGTGGAGCACCACTTGAACACCATTGGCATTGACAAATTCACCATTAGTCAATTGCAAAAGGCAGCCTTACTAGGAACTACTTCCATCCTGCGACGATATCTGTAATACCATCAAATATCTGCCGATCCCAGGTCCTTGGGAAGGACTCGATAAGTAGACAAAAATGCCAAATCCAGTCTGAACATCTGGCTGACTGTGCGATGATCAACAACAATAAGAACAACAATAACAATAATAATACAGGACTTATTACTCCCTTGGGATTGAAATTTCAATGACCTTCAACCACTTTTATTCATAAACGTGTTGCTGCTGCAGCATCCCTATAGGCATGTGATTGTGACTGTGATTTGATGCTTCCTGCCAGTTTCCCACAAGCAGATTCAGTGGGGAGGCTGGTAGGAAGGTGAAAGTCACTCTTATTCCCACTGCTTTTTTGACCGCCCATGGTCATTCTGTTTCTCTGTTTAGATATTATAAATATTGATTTATTATTGACATTTGCTTGCCACTACAATTATTTTTCTATTTATGATACCTACTTTTCTGAGATGACCATGGGATTGTTCAACATTGGGATAAAAAAAAAAAATACGGTCAGCTTAAAATGGCCACATGAAACTGTACATTTCTTGCAATGGGTGATAAATTGTCTAATCGCTGCCAAAGCACCAGGAGATGCAAATAAATATGCCATGCAATTAGCAGTGCTTGTGTTAGAAGATGGGAAACTCCACTTCAGCTTGGGTTAATCAAAACATGACAGATGGCTGCATCATATGAAGATATCCTTGAAGAATGGTAATCAGGCACCCTCAAGCTGAAAGCAGAGGGAAGTGTAGCTGTATCCTTAGTAAAACTATGATACAAATAATCCTCAAATTATGACCACCATTGAGCCCAAAAGTTCTGTTACTAAGTGAGTCAGTTAAATAACTTTTCCCCCATTTCATGATCTTTCTTTCCATAGCTGTTAAGTGATTCACTGCAGTTGTTAAGTTAGTGACATGACTGTTAAGAGAATCTGCTTCCCGATTGACTTTGCTTGTCAGATGGTGGCAAAAGGAGATCACATGACCCTGGGACACCGCAACCATCATAAATAAATGCCATTTCCAAGCGTCTAAATTTTGTTCATATCAACGTGGGAATGCTGCAACGATTGTAAGTGTGATAAACAGTTATAAGTCACTTTTTTTAGTGCAACTGTAACTTTGAATGGTTACTAAATGAATTGTTGTAAATCAAGGATTACCTGTATCTGCCTTGTTCAAGGAATTTTATAAACAGCCCAGATTACTATCTCCTCCATTAGAATTCTTCCATCTTTTCCCAACTTCTTCCATTATCTGGAAGTTGAGTCACAGCAACCAGACTTATTATTTTTTGTTGATTTGAAACATTTCACTGCTTATCCAAGTAGATTCTTCAGTCTGAGAAAGTTGGTTAGAGGGAATCTGAATAGGCATAGAGTTGTTGCTCAGACTGAAGAAGCTACTTGGATAAGCAGCGAAATGTTTCAAACCAACAAAAAATAATAAATCCAGTTGCCATGTCTCAACTTCACTCTGCAGGGGTAGGCAGCCTTTTATGACTCGTGAACTTCAACTCAGGAATTCTGGGAGTCGAAGTCCACAAGTCATAAAAGAGTCAAGGTTGCCTACCCCTGGTCTATACCTGGATGACTTGGACTCTTCCATCAACATTCTTCCATTATCATTTCCCCCCCCCCCAAATGGTATTTAATGAAATAAATAGCGGCATGTTGTTTTTTTATTGATAACACTACAGGTCTTCCGTCTGGAAGACCCTAAATGTAGAACTTCACTGCTCCAGAGTGCTTCATTGTCACGCTAGAATGGAATGATCCTGTGTTTTGCTTGGAGTTTCTCCATTTCATTGCTATTGACAAAGAATACCAATATTTTACAGTGATCATTTTCAGGTCTGTCTGATGCTGTTCATGGATGTGGCTTGTCACTACTCACTATGCCCCATACTTTTTAGCCACCCCAGAGCAGTACAGAAGTATTCCTGTTTCTGTTTTCCAAAACATGTGGGGTTGAGTAGCTGTTGTTAAAGAACACATGGTGCCATAGCGTATGTAAAGCCTCTCTCAAGTTGAGTTTGACTCTTGGTAGACACTTAGATACCTCAATGGCTTTTCTATGCAGTAATACAAAAATGGCATCCCATTACAGATTTCCCAGATTTTTTTTAATTCTTAGTCTAATTTACAATCAGTGTTTTCGTGATCATTTCCCAGCCAAGTACCAGCCAAATCTGATGAATCTTAGCTTTTCCAAGATCACCCAGGTTAACTGTTATCTGCTTTGACTTTCTAAACCTGAGAATCCCAAATCTTCCTGTAGCAAACATTAAGTAAGTTGTGATGGGCACTAACTAATTTTGCCATCTAAAACTATGTTATATAATTTTATAATTTGGCAAAGATTTCTTTCCTCTTTTCCAGGAAGCAAATGCCACTGTTGCTGGAGAAAAAGAAGTAATACAGGTAATCCTCAACTTATGACCACAATAGAGCCCAAAATTTCTGTTGCTCAGTGAAACGTTTGTTAAATATGTTTTGCTCCATTTGACAACCTTTCTGCCACAATTGTTAAGCAAATCACTTCAGTTGTTAATTTAGTAACACAGTTGTTAAATGAATCTGGCTTCTCCATTGATTTTGCTTGTTAATATGTCACAAAAGGCGATCACATGACCCTGGGACAACCGTCATAAATATGAATCAGTTGCCAAACATCTGAATTTTGATCACATGACTACAGGGATGCTGTAATGTTGTAAGTGTGAAAAATGGTCATAAATCCTTTTTTAAGTACCATTGTAGCTTCAAACGGTCACTAAATGAACTATTGTAGGTCGAAGATTACCTATCCAGCATTTGGAATTTCTTTTGGTTCTGTAATCGTATCCATTTCTTCCAACTTTTGGGAACTGACTCGCCAATGTCTATAATAATTGTGAGACACTGGAAGTCTAACCCATCTGGAGACATATGGTTGGAAATGCTTATGCACGGTAATCTGCTATTATTCTCAAGAAAAATAGCCTTCACCAGCTACGAGTTACAGTGGTTATCCCGCATACCAGGAGCTGTGCCGGGCTAAATGCATTATGTATATCACATACATGTACTCATAATGCCGTTAACCATGCAAATTGAATTAAAACCTGCAAATTAATTAGCCGTGTAAATCTTCCAGTGGGATTTATTTTGAAGGACGCAGCTACAGGCAGTTACCGGAGCAGAGGTACAGTACTTCGTTTAGGGCAGCTAAGAGGGTTATTATTAAGAGATTATTATCACTATTGTTATTATTATTACTATTGTTGTTATTATTATTACTATTAATTATCGCTCCTTTTAGCAGGAGAGACTGAGGGGAAGTTTAGCAGAAACCAGTTGGAAAATCCGGCTTAATTTCCCTTTCCCCGCCCTTCACGCGTCACCTTGCACTCTGACGTGCAGGCTGGGAGCAGGCGGAGCTCGACGAGAGGTCACTGAGAGAGAGAGAGAGAGAGAGAGAGAGAGAGAGAGAGAGAGAGAGAGAGAGTCATGAAGAGGCGGGGTTAGAACTAGGTACCGCGACAGCGATTGGTGAGGCAGAGAGGAGCGCCGGCCCCTTATTGGGCGTGTTTAGGGAAATTTGGAGAGAAGGCGGCGGGGCGGAGTCGAGTAGACGGTGGTTTCCAGTTAATAGGCGGGTTACGGGATGGGGTGGCGGGAGGCGACGGCTAGTTCCGAGAACCGGGACGGGGAACTGAGGTACTGGGCTAAGTGGGCTCCTCCATTCTCGCGGGGCAGAGCGCTCGGCGTGAGGAGGAGTGGCGGGTTGTGTGCGAGGGGAGAGCCCGCGAGCTTCGTGGTCTTGTGAACGTGTGACGGTATGGGCATTACCTTATAGGGAGGCTGGCTTTTCATGGGACTGGGCATTAAAATGCGATGCCCTGTAGCGATAAAAAGTAGAACGTAAAAAAAAAAAAGGGTCGTGCATGTTGTTGAGAAGGGAAAACGTGAATCTTCCTATTGCACCGTCCCTTACAGGGTGTCCAAAATGGACTTGGGAGAAAGGAGAAGGAAGAACTGAGATATGAAAGATGTGAGGGTGTTTCAGGCTTTTAAAAAATGTTTTCTAGGTCCTGCTCATTCTCATTGCCATATGTTTCCCACAGCTCACTAAACAATTTTACTGAATTACTGTATCACAGTTAGTTGGCATGAACGTATTTTTCATTAAGTTGATGCTTTCATTTTCTAAGGAAATGGTAAACAGAGGGGAAAAAGGATTGCAGGAGGGGATTTTTATATTCTCCCATCTAAGAAGACTTAGTTTCTTCTGGTCCCTGAAGGGTTTTTTCTTCCCTCATTCTTGTCTACCTTAACTGCCGAAAAAAGAAAAGTTGCAGCTTCTTCAGAGGACAAGGGGGAATATAATTTTACATCAGGAAGTTAATATTCCCTAACTAGAACTAAATGGTAGTGACAGGTTTTTCTGAAGATTCATCATGTTTCTATGTGACTTACACAAAAAGGGCAAATGGATATGAGGAGTTACTCTTTACACGAAGGCCATTGGGGCTTACATCCATAAGCTTTAATTTTTTATGAAAGTATGTGAAATTTTTAGAGTCCAGGATTTAGTTTTCACCATTTACTGTCTTATGTCAGCCTTACATGTGTATAGTTGGATGTTTCATGGACAGTAATGTTGCTTTGGCCTGTTACAGTTGGTGGGATCACAGTATCAACATGTTTAAATATCTTCCTTTCTTTCTCAAAAGTTATGATATTATATATGGAGCAGAAATAATGCTGTTTCTCACTAATCATTTATATGCCTTCTCCCTGTTGCTGAGATGGATTCTCTGCCCATCCTAGAGTTGGCAGAACACTATTTTTATTTCTTTGTTTATTATTTTTACAAATAACTCAAGGTGGCAAACATATCCAACACACCTTCCTCCTCATGTTTTCCCCACAACAACCCTGTGAAGTTGGGCTGAGAGTGAGTGACTGGCCCATAGTCATTCAGCTGTTTTTCATGGCTATAGTGGTATATTTATTACCAATGTCTGTCCTACCTCTGTTATTTATCTTCCCAGCCGCTATAATCACCTGATTTCCTTCTAAGGTAATGGGTGACAAAACCTAAATAAATTTTACACACCTTATGACTGACTTTGAATAGTGCTGAATATGGGGAAACATTTTTAGACCCTTATACAGTTAAGAATAATGTAAGCTTATATCTGAACAGAGATAAGATGATGGTAATGTTACAGTCAGAGAGCTAGTATGGTGTGGAGGTCAAGGCACCAGGCTAGAAACGTGGAGATTGTGAATTCTAATTCTGCTTTAGACCTGGAAGCCAGCTGGGTGACCTTGGACCAGTCACTGCTCTCAGCCCTAGGAAGCAGGCAAGGGCGTTTTGAAAAATGTTGCCAAGAAAACAGCAGGGATTTGTCTTAAGCAGTTGCCAGAAGTCAAAAAACAACTCAAAGATACACCTGCCCCTATGATGGCATGGAAGAAAAAAATATTATCTGTGCTGTGCATATGTGGAAGAAGGGAAAAGCTTATGGCACAATGCATAAGAATGAGGACAGGCTTTATAGCAACTCAGATAGCCCAGTGATTCCAGAACATGCTATAAAGGACTCACAAGGAAATGGCTTGAGAATAACGTGACATTTTGTATGATTGCCACCACCTTGCTAGAGTTAATAGCTGGTGCATGTCCTGATCCCTCCCCCAAATATCCTGGGATAATTTCTAAATATCCCCAGTGTCACATGGATTCAAAGCACTGTGCAGAATTTAAATGGTTCCTAATCTCAGGCATAGTTGATTGTTGCCACCAGCAAATAACTCTGATGAGTCAAAAAGAAGAAAGATCCCTTTTGACATATGATTATAGACCATGAATCTGGCTTTTATTATGTGTACTGATCCTATCCTGCTGCACTCCCTAGCCTAGTGAATGTAAGGTGTAAACAAGAAATCTAGACTGAACTCCCCCCCTCTCCCCAGAACCAGAATTGAATTAAAGTAGAGATAATTATTAATTATCCTCCCTTTGTTGTTTTCTTCAGCCTTTTGAAAATGGCTGGCTGGCTGCCTCTTTCTAAAGCAGCAACAACTAGTAAGATGTCATTTGCTGATTTTTAAAAAAAACAATTGCAAAGAAAAATAACTTGAAATATTTATTTAGTGCAAGATACATTTTAAGTGTATAAGATATGGAATGGTGCATACGCTGGTTCTGTTACTACATCTCTGATGCAGCCTGCCTTGCAATCTTGTGAATGTGGATGTGGTGGTGGTCTTATTACTGGAAATATTCAACTACTAGCTAGAAGCAGGGAGGCCAGTAATTTGGATTTCTATCCCCAGCAGAAGGTTAGACTTGATAGTCTGCATGTCTGCCTTCCAACTCTGTGGTCCTAGAACAGTGTTTCTCAACCTTGACAATTTTAAGGCATGTGGACTTCAACTCCCAAAATTCCACAGCCAGCATTGCTGTCCTAGAATCTTATAAAAAAAAATTACGAGATTTGAACGATACATAATTTTTAAAAGCAGTGTAAATGATTTAAAATGAGATAAAAAGGACCTCGATTTGTGCAGCTTTCTATAGTTGTCCTTTTTCCTTCCCTTTCCTGCTCTTTTAAATAAGTTCAGAATACCATATATACCGTGGAATTACATCCTTAGCCTAGACTGGGAGCAATTTGTTGACTCAGGATCATTTAGCTGAGTAAACTTTAAGGCTGAAGGTAAAATTCAAGTCTAGATTTTTCCAACTTAGATTCATCATAAGACGGGCTAGTTATCTTATATTGCATCATGTATTCCAAAACTGAGCCTCCACTAATCTTGTTTCAGATTAAACAATGGGTTTGAGGTGCTAGTATAATTGACATCACACACAATGCGAACAGTATTTCATTAATACTTCTTAACTGGCTTTTCTTTTCCCTTAGTCATTCCTTATTTTATTCGGTTCTCTTCTGGCTTACTCTCCTGGCTTATTATCATGAATTGTCACTCTTCATAATAATTAGGCTTGATTCTGTGGTTGTATATCACCTTGATGTACATGGTATGGGAGAACTACACTAAAAGTATCTCTCTTGCTTCAACAAGTGGAGTTTCTAGATGCATGTTTGTAAAAGAATGTGAAGTTTTTCTTTCAACCGTCCTCATTCCAGTCCAATTTTTTTTCTCCCCTGACATCTGTTTGCCAGCTAACAGTACTGCAAAGGCTGCAGACATCTAAAAAATGAGAGGCACTATAAAGCTTTCCTAAATGCTGTCTTTCCTCATAGTTGTTGTTCTCTTCAGATATTTTTGCTTGAAGCAAACCTGGTTTGTACGCTGAACCTGGTTAATGGAACAGGGGAGGATTTAGCTATTTCCTTTCCCCTCAGTGATTAATTTCTCAGATACCTCAGTTGTAGAGGTCTTGGTGCTCTCTGAGCTTGGCTGTTTGCTTGCAGACAGTTTGTTTCTTATCTACCTAACGTCAACAATGCCCATTCTGATATTAGAGCTATACAACAAACAAGGTGTTACAAATTCAGAGTTAGCTGCCTTGTGAGTTCTACCCGGGACTACTTTTCTAGGTTTCTTTTTTTTTTTCTTGTAAAATACTTCATATTTTTTCCAGATGCATACATGCAAAACATGTTGTCATCATTTGTTTATACTTTGTTGTGGCTGTCTAATAAAAGTTCTGAAAACTAGTTAAATCTAGCGAAAGTCAAATTATCACTCTTCCTATTAATTTCTCGGTTGGCCTTAGATCTTTCCAGTTCTGCTCATATTTAAAACTTCCCCACAGAGTGTTCATATGGATAAGCAAACTTAAGTATTTTACATATTACTTTTTGTACGTCATTTGCTGTGTTTAGAAATGATAATTAAGCCTTTAAAAATTGGAACAGGCAGTATTAGTTTATTGGCCAAATTTTAATAGACTTTTTAATGCACACGCCAAGAGGTGCCCACACACGACATGTCTGTTTTTCCAAGAAGTGCCTCTCCCTTGCATATTATTATCATTTACTTTTGTAACTCTTCTCTCTTTCGTTGCACTTCCAAGGAAATGTTGGCAGATGAAAATCCACCCATATTTTAGTCAAATGCTTTGGACCAAGATCCTTTTTAAAAACTATTTTGCTCCACTTATTAAAAGGCTCAACAGGAAGGCCAAAGCCCAGCCCTAATTTCTGTTCAAGAATAGCACTGAAAACGATCTTAGTTTTCAGCAAGACTTCTTTGGTGAGCTAATATTGCAGTTTGGTTGAATGAGGGTAAGAAAAGACCAATTAATGACAAGTAGCAAGCAGTCTTGGCTAGATAACATTAGTTCTTAAATATGCACAATTCATTTTTACTTTTGTTCTGGTAGGTTAGGTAAATACCACATAAGTTCTTTAAAGGGACTTGAGGTCTATTTGTTTTTGGCTTTGGGCCCATTTGGTGTTTGTGTCTGTCTATATCTCTATCTCTATGTATAAATAGGGATCCAAAGATTGACACCAAAGGCTAACGCTTATTCAGATAAGAACAACTGCTTGGCCACAAATGGAAAAAATGGAATCTATGGAAAATTTCATGAATGGATTGAAGATTGAAAGCTGCTTAGGGATAAAATAGTAGACCAAGGAATGCTACCTTGTTTCTTACCCTTTCAGTAACTTGACCCATTTTCACACTTATAATCATTGCAACATCCCCACATGATCAAAATTCGGGCACTGGGCAACTGACATGTACTTACGGCAGTTGCACTGTCCCAAGGGTCATGTGATCACCATTTGTAACCTTTCCACTCGGCTTCCGACAAGCAAAGTCAATGGGGAAGCCAGATTTGCTTAATGACCTCATGATTCACTTAACAACTGTAACAAAAAAGGTCACGAAAGGGGGCAAAACTCATTTAACTGCCTCACCAACAATGTTGGGCTGAGTTGGGGATCATAAGTCAAGGACTCCCTGTATTTTGTCAAAAATCTGATTATTTAAGCTTTGTAGAAATTATCTTTTAGACAGAGTTGTTTTAAGACTGTTCTGTGTCATACTGTCCTCCCACACTGAATATTGGGTAGTGACTCATCTTCCTTTAAAGGATAGGTTGTTGTAGCATTAATTAGTTTTATTTCTGAAATAAATTTTTGGAGACTTTTCAAACTTCTGGGAAGTTACTGCCCACAGAGCACATGGGATCATCACTAAATTTTATGTATGTACTTAGCCTCTGGATTTGAACTTCAGGGAAACAAAAATCAACAGTCCCTCTGCTAGACTTTTAAAAAAATTTATTGGCACCTTGTAATTTTCTACTTTTTCCAAATCTGTATAGATTTAACTTTTTGTCAATCTAGATTTTTTTTTGTTTGCTAGTTTTGCCTATCTCTGATTCTTCATCCATTTTTACTCAATACAATCTATAATTTGTTCTGGTTCTGAATCATATTTCACCAGCAAGTTAGAGAGCATTCCAAATTTTGTTTTTGAAAGTTTTTAAGGTTTTAAAAATTCAGCCAAAAGTTTCGAGACTTTGCCCTTATTTTGGTAATTCCTTTGAAACAATAGTGCTTATTTGAACTTCTTAGAACCAATCCAATTGTTCTATTGCAAAAAGAGAGTTTTAAAGAATTTTAAAATTGTCTTATTGACAGTTAAATCTTGTTGTCTTTGTAATTTATTATATTTGTAGTCAGTCTCCTTACTGTTGGGGGTCTGGGTCTTTGTTGCTTGACAACTTATAACATGATTAAATGAGTAAGGAAGTTCCAGTTCTGTTAGTGTGCACACAATTGTGTCAGTGCTACGTACCCTCCTTTTATCCTTTTTATGCGTTTGCTACACTCATTTTGTATATAAATATAATGTGAAATGAGCAAGGCCAACGTCTAGTAATCTTTTCAAGCACTGTAAGCTATATAAAAAAGAAAAAAGCCGGCGTGGTCAGGATTAGTCATATTCAACTGCAAGAGCACTGAAAAAAGTGAGTTTACAGGTGATATTCGCACTTATAACCAGTGCTTTTTTTGTAAAAAAAAAAAAAAAGGTGCCGGAACTCACACACATCATACAACCCGCCTTGCCTACCCTACAAGGTTCCATCCAAAAAAGGTGCCGGAACTCCGTTCTGGGCATTCTATGAGAGAGAAAAAAGCCCTGCTTATAACTGTCACACCATCCCCATGATCACATGATCAAAATTTATTGAGCTGGCAGTTGGGTTTATTTATGATGACTGCAGCCTCCTTGGATTGCATGATTGCCCTTTGTGATTTTCCTAGCCGACTTCCAACAAGCAAAGTCAGTGGGAGAAGTAGATTACTTAACAACCGTACTATTATCTTAACAACTGCAACTGGTTTGCTTAACAACCATGCCAAAAAAGAGCCATAAAATTGGGTTTGACTCAACAATTTAACAACTGCCTTGCTCAATTCTAGTCTCAATTGTGGTTGTAATTTTAGGACTACCGTATTCAGGTGTGAAATACATGCATATAATTTAGGCACCCACTTATTTGCTTTATGGAGAAAAACAATGATTATCATTTTTTCTACTTTATGAGCATTCTTGTAGTGAACAGGCTGTTCATTAGGTCAGGAACTTTATGCACTTTTAGGAATGGAAAAAGGAATAGTTTGTTTGGATTCTAAGGAATATAAATGGCAAGATAAGCAGGAACAAAAGTCCAGCCTGATAAGACAGGGCAAAGGCTGGTAAAGATGTTAAATTTACTTTGATACATGGCTTTCTGAAATGGCTTTTTGACATGCACGGTGATTTGAAATATAAATTTGGCTTGTAAATTAATCATCTTGGAAAATTCTGGGATCAGTTTTGGAGAATACTCTACAATGCATAGTATTCTGCAATGCCAAGTACAATCACATAGGGAACCTAATAGTTGGGGAGGCAAATGGCAAGAAGTGATTTAAGTTGTGTCATATTAGCTGTAAGCAAAACAACCCACCCACCCCACCCCCGCCATAATTATGACAATTATGTCTTATCCTAAGTTACTTAATTGAGTCTGGTGACTTGGGGAATTGATAGTTAGAAAAAAAATCAATCTGTAAATAATGGAATACATTTTCTGTTCTAATTATATTGTTTCTTTAAAAACGAGTCTATCCCATTTTTAATCTCTATAAACTGAGATTTTTGTTTAAATCAGACTATCAGCCACTTTCTAGCAGTCTTACCAACTTCTAATTTTAGTTAAAAAAATAATATTGTAGAAATAAAGGAATTTGGGGGAAAAATCAGGAAGAAGGAGCCTTCTATAGTGTAAAACTTATAAAGTTACATTTATTTTATTTATTAAATGTATAGTCCACTTTGTTGGGTCAATGGGCATGTCTATGTTGCTTGTAAATGTACATGTGCCTACATAACAGTGTGCTTGAGAATATATACTTCTAGACTGCATGGTTTTGACTGAAGAATAATGTTTAGATGGTATAAAAACTGGATGAGTTTGTCATCTTTTCCCTTAAAATAATGCCTTAATGTTACCAAGGCATTCCAAAATGGTAATTAATTTGGAATTGAAATTTTAAATGTCAGGTACAGGCAGTCCTCTACTTACTTTGTTTAGTGACCGTTTAAAGTTACAACAGCACTGAAAAAAGTATTTATGACCATTTTTCAGTTACAACATTTGCAGCATCCCCATGGCCACGTGATCAACATTCAGATGCTTGGCAACTGGTTCTCATTTATGACGGTTGCTGTGTCCCAGGGTCATGTGACCATCTTTTGTAACCTTCTGACAAATAATGGGGAACCAGATTCATTTAACAACCGGATTAGTAAACAATTGCAGTGATTCACTTAACAACTATGGCGAGGAATGTCTTAAAATGCAGCAAAACACACTTAACAAATGTTTCACTCAACAACATAAATTTTGGGCTCCATTGTGGTCGAGGACTACCTGTTTTTAATATGTGTGCCTTTAAAAATCCAAGGACACTAAGCTTTCTGTGTGCTTTCATACAGATTCAATTTAAAATTTAGGGAGTTTAATGCACTACTTTTTTCGACTGCAGAGTTCCTATATATTTGGCACTTTTTATTTTCATGCAAGTAGTCCTCAACTTATGACCAATTGTGTAATGACCATTTGAAGTTACGACGGGCTTTTAAAAAGCTACTTATGATCTGTCCCCAAAGTTACACTCCTGTACCACCACACCCTCTGTGACCACATGATTGTATTTTGGGCATTTGTCAATTGGCTCACATTGACAATTGGTTGCATCATCCCAAGGTCACATGACCACAATAGGTAACTTTGAAAATGCTACTAGAAAATGGCAAAAATCACTGATTGGATATGCTAGATTAGAATCGGTTAACAACCACATAGTTCAATTAACAACCACATGATTTGCTTAATGACCGCTGTGACTTGCTTTACAACCATTGTAAAAACAGAAAATAAGTCCAGTCATGTGATAGCTTGACTTACAAACACAGTGATTTACAACCAAAATTCTGGGCTCCATTGTGATCGAGAACTACCTGTAGAATATATAAGTAAAACATGTAAGGGATGCATTTTAAATTGGACAGCTCCTATCCCTGTTTTTATTTTATTTTTTAATTAAGTACTGCTTACTCAGCTGAACTTTCTGTTCCAGCTTAACATTGTGTGAAAAACTCTGGTGAAATGCATGTCTGATTTATATTTTATGGTTTCAGAATTTGCCTCCTTGGATAACACTAGATTAGCTTGGCACGTGGCTTACTACATCTCCAAAGCTTCAAAATAACATTGGTAAGAATGCATTTAATTATGATTTATATTGTTATTCTGGTTAACTTTTAAATGATCTTTGTTTTTATTTTTTTGGCACACCTGTAAAAAAAATAGGGCAACTTATTTACTTGTGTTCTACTTTGGTATTTTCTATATAGTTCTCTAAACAAACTCTAACAGGATACATGAAGGAACGTGAGGGCGTGCTTGTGTAATTTGGCTCTGACCTTTGGGTACAGATGGATTTGAGTGAGATAAAGAATCTGTGTTCTTTGGCAAATATATGTTTTATTTAGAGGTGTATTGTATTTGTTGGACAGCTGATTTGCCGTTTTATTTTATTCTGTACTTTTATTTCTTTAAAATATTTATACTCTTTCAGGAGTGAGCTTTGGAGAAGCTTACATTTAAAATTAAACAATAAAAATTCAAATGCCATCAGCATATTTTTTAACAAAATTATGGAAGTGCTTGCAGATTTCTTCTAACTGTGATCATTATTTTTAGGTTTAATTAATTCTGGTACTGATGCATTGATGAATTCTCATCACTTCCTAGCAGCCATCTGTAAAGACAGAGATTTATTAGAATTGATCAGATTTTATCCTGTTTCTTTCATTCAAAGAACCTCGAAGATATGTGATTAGTTTACTATTATATTAAGCTCAGAGACTGAAACTCAACAGTACATGTATTAACATTTGAACTAAGAATGAGGTCCAAAACAATAACAGATGGTTGCAGAATTTGAGGGCACAAGAGCAAAGTATTCTTTTAAACACATCAACCCTCTCACAGATATGTCAATTATTCAAATAGATCAGTGGTTCTCAACCTGTGGGTCGGGACCCCATTTGGGGTCGAACGACCATTTCATGGGGGTCGCCAAACAAGGCTGTCCGCCATTTTTTCCCCTTTTCTTTGGCCATGCCCTGGCACCCGATGATGTATAAGTGGTTGGGGGTCACCACAACATGGGGAACTGTATTATGGGGTCACGGCATTAGAAAGATTGAGAACCACTGAAATAGATGAACTAGTCAGATATTTGTTTAGTGGCATAGTTGGCTTTGATGTTCCTCCCTAACATAAGATTACTCATGTGTTGGTTCAAGCTAGAAGCATCTCGTGTCCAGCATTTTGTTTCTCACACTGGCCAACCAAGTCTCTCTATGGTGTTTGCACCAATAAGTGGAGATATATTCCTGTCCTTACAGGGTTCTACTGCAGCTGATAATTTGGACACTGCATATTGTTCTTAACCCTTAAATAACGTAAATCTCAAGAATAATAACATGTGGTATACATATCATCTTTATCCATTCCCTTTTTAGAATCCTCCAAGTTAGTAGCCATCATCACCTCTTGGGGGTAATAAATCCCATAATTATGCTTTCTTTTGTTTGTTCTCAGTCTCCTTCCAGCTGGCTTGATTGGGTGACCCCCAAACTGAGTATTTTGAGAGAGGAAGCAACCCTATTCTTCTGCCTCCAAGTTGTAAATAATTTTATACATGATAGGCAGGGATTCATCATGTTTCCCCTCATTTTCCTTTTTTTCAAAGGTAGAGTTCCCAATTTTCTGGTTTTCTCATATAAAAGGTTTCTGAGCCATTTCATTACTTGTATCCCCTGCTGTCTTCTCTTTTTCCAGTTCTTTTATTCTTTTTCAAATGTGACCAGAAAAGTATATAGTATTTCATATACAGATATATCATAGATTTGCATAATGGGATGAACATATAGGCAGTTGTATTTTTAACCTTTTTTCTAATAAGGCCCAGCATGGACTTTGGCTTTTTCACATCTACCATATATTGAGTCAATATCTTTAAAGTGAACTATTCACTATGACTAATAACTCATTATATTCACGTTTTTAATAAATCACATTTTCAAGATTGCCTTATTCCTCATGGCTCTAGCTCAGGGGTGTCAATCTCTCCACGTCACATGACATGTTGCGACGTATCACAGCTTTTTTCTCCTTGCCAGAGCTGGGGTGGGCGCGGCTTCCGCGTGACGCATGTGGCCCTTGGCCAGCAGTTTGGCACCCCTGCTCTAGCTGGTAAACTATAATAAAAATAGAGTATAGAAAACAATTAAAGATGTAACAGTGCTTCACTTAGAGGGAACAATGTGTAATTTATCTAGCACACATACCTATCCCAAGGAACCTTCCACTGAATAAAGGGTTCACTTTGTTTATATTGCCTTATAGTAGTTCAAAAAGTGATATTAAGACAAAAATAATAAGAAACTACTTCAGCATCAACTACATAAATAGTTTGTAGCTTGTAAAGACAAAACAGCTTAATATTTTTAAAAGCATTAGGATATAAAGAAAGTGCTTTGCCTATTGACAGAACTTTTTTCCCGGGAAGAAAATCTAATAATACAGCTCTATTGCTAAATCAGTCATCTCTCTGCCTAATATTTGCCTCACATCACTTGGAAAAGAATCTTAGCTGCTGATTTACTGATTAAGATAATTAAAATAGTCTCTGTGATACTGAGATTTTTTTCGCCAGATGTTTATATCCTGTCTTATCAAGGAGGGCTTTGATAGAGAACCTACCTATCGTATTAAACCTATCTGCTTAATCCTTTCTATGTGGTGCCTTAACCATGAATAGGATTCTCATCTGTTCTAATTAACATTATCCAGAATTTGAAGCCGACAGGTAAACTATAATATTGAATTCCAGGTTAACCTAAAGTAGCAGCTGCTTCTCATCCACATGATGCACCTAACTGTAGAAGCAATCACTACCAAGATTAAGGAGCTATAAAGGTTTGGATTAAAAAGGTGGCATTTGTGTGTTCAGTTCTACCAGCCAGGTTTAATGTGTCATGCAAAGCTGTCAGCTTAGCTTGGGAAGTTATCAGAATTCAGCAGTTTTTAACATCTGAAAGTTCTTTGAAGATTTGTGAGAGATACTCCCAATAGTCAGTGTTGATTAAGCACTGACATTTATGCTCAAACACACACATAAGCATAGTATGTGTCATTAGAATAACTGTAGTCAGTTACCTCTTTCTAGGATGAATGACAGTAACTGGGACGTCAATCTTAATTATTGTTTGTGCCTCTGTTGCAGTATAGGAACTTCTAGTAATAAAGGAAAACACCCACAAGGTCAGAAGTAGATCTTTTCTGGGAGTGCTCTCCCATCCTAAATAGGGAGTTATCTGAGATGAATATGTATTCCTTGGAAGTTGATAAACACTGTAGTGTAGCGTTATAGTGGGTATAGAATGCTTAGAATCTAAAGATTTTGTTTGCATATTTCTTCATTGTGATTCTTTATCCATAGAATAGAATTGCTGCTTTTCTTGACTTTGGACTATATGGTAAAGAATTTGTGTATAACTGTTAAGTGGTAAAAATAAGAACAGTGGATTGGACTGTAATTATTCCAGTCTTCAATTGTTTCTTATGGGAAAAGATTTAACATTATAAACTGATGATGGGTGCTTCTAGATGAAGTTAATATTGCATAATAGTTCTACTTTATTCGAAAATTTTGTAAAGGGCCTGGATTATATCATCTTCCATTTGTTTCTAGTAACTCTTGTCAACTCACAAAAAAGCAACTCAGTGCTTTTAATATTTCTGTTTTTTCCAAACAATTATATATTGGCAACATATACAGGCAAATTCCTCGGTACGGTAGGCTCTGGTTTGAGATAGTCATGACTTTCCATTCTGTTGGTGGAAGATTTCCAAAAATTACATGAAAATAAAATTAGTTATTTAGTGATCCCACTACAACCATACACAAAAAGGATCAGTAAATGGGTTTTGTATTTAAAAATGGAAATAAAGATCAGAGGGGAAAGGAGTGCAAGGCAAAGAGAAAAGGAAAGGAGAAAAAAGTGACTTCCAACTTTTTTCAATTCAATGAAATACAAAGTACAGTTACAGCCTCACCTTTTTGCTTTACATTTCTTAGTAGATGCATGCCATTTCCATAACGGCAAAATTAATCAGGTAATCAAAACCTAAGATCAAAGTTTCATTTTTTTTTCTGTTTTGAGCATGAAGTCCAGAAGCTGTTTCTAAGAGGAAATTAATTTCATATTTACATAAAGATGTAGAACGTATTACTTAGGCCATCTGACTGATTTTATTTTCATCGATTCAAAGATAAATTGGGGTTATGCTAATTACTTCCCCAATTTTTAATTCCCCCCTTTTTAAAATCAATCTGAATGTATGCTAGGTTTGGAATGCTAGTCCGTTGATCAAATAAGTATTCATTAATCAAAATATTTTCAAATTTTTATTTTCACGCATCATGAAAATAAAATGATGCTTCCGTTGCATCATGAATAGGCTTACATGCCAATATGCATTTTAACTTGCTCAGGAGTCAGCATTGCACATTCCCTCACATCCAGTTCCAAAGAGCTTGGAACCCCCTTGGAGGAGGTTCCTGAATCTTTCTCTTTGTGAAGAGAAAATAATATTTGGGTAAACTTTCATACTCATTAGTGCTGTGAACATCATTGTTTTTAATGCTGGCTTTGAATTTAAAAGAAGAAATACAATGGCATAGAGACGCTTTTAAAAGAAAAGGAAAAATGCATTTTTGTAACAAAAGATACCTTGAGGCAAGCATGTGTCACCATGGTAAATGCAATGATCAATAGTGTCTGTAGCATAAACTGATTAAACTGAATGTATTGGTGTTCCTGTATAAAGCAATTTGAAGCCGTCTGTGTTTGCTTTCCCAGTTTGCGTGCTGTGAGCATTGTTGTGTGTTTCCATGTGCAAGTTTAGGATTCTCAGAAGACACCATAAGCCAGTCAGTTAGTGTTTATCATCTGTCCCTCCAGCTTACCAACAGGAGCATACAAAGAATCTTCCAGCAGCTCCCTTTTGACTACTTCTGGAGTAATAAAAAAAAAAAAGCAAACTAAAACCATTAGTGCTGCCTCCCTTTCTACCTTATCCATGTTTTTTTCTGGATTTATCTCAATGTGCATTTACCTGTTGTTGTTGTTTTTTAAAGG